AGCTTTGATTCAATCGCTCATCGAATCTAGCCAAATCTAATCTCTATCTTCACCTGACACAGAGGTGACATGGTGCTCGCTTGGGCATCCATGTGTGGATTGTGTGTGTATCGAGGATTCAAAAGATCGGAATGATTATGACACCTTAGCCTCACCCAATGGCATGCTACCACAACCTGTCAACTAAAGCAATAGGCTACGAAGCGATTAAACAAAGGGTCACCCCCGGAAATATAAATAACCACTGATGTCATTTGCCCATTTCACATCTTTTACTACTCTTAGAGCCTTTAGACTTTCAAACATTCAGGCCCTCAAAACTTTGAACCTATTTAGTCGTCCAACCCCTCATAATTTAGGTCTGAATGTCATCTTTCTCCGAGTCAAGCCCTACTTTTGAACGTGAGTTGGGTGTCTCTCTAGTCCTGTCTTCGCCTTCGGTGTTGATATTTAATACTTCCTCATCTAATGAAGGGGTCAAAGTTGCTCGAACGAGGGAGGCTACCTCCTTGGAGGTGACTCTCTCAGACAGTTTACGTTAGATTCTATAACTTCAACTCTTGGATCTCTACTATCGACCTTAAATACATAAGGGAGACTTTTAATATTCCTATCGAGTTCAAGCTAATCACTCCTAGGCCTAGTGATTGACCTTATGTGTTTCATCATTTATTCTGCACTTATCTTAACACCTTGGAGGTGGGACTTAGATTCCCCCTCCATCCTTTTTTTTTTACTAAAATCCTTAATTTTTAAAAATTTTCTCTAGCCTAGGTAGTATCAAACTCCTAGCATTATTTAGCCTCTTTTGTTAGAGAGTATTGAAGGCTTAGAATTTCCCTATTGCCAACCTTGCTACTGGTTTGCTTCAATGTGAGCTTCAAGGATTCATTTTACTATTTTTTTTGCCTAACATGGTTATAGAGTCCTAAGGGTATCTTCTTTTAACAATGTTACAAGAAGTGTTTGTTCTTTGTTTCTTTATACAGGGGGTGGCTCGTCAACCTGACGTGGTCCACCAAGAAGTTTCAAAACCCGATCCCAAGGCTGAGAAGGTCATAGCAAGAGCAACATCGTCGACTATCCGTGCCCCTATTGGAGACCATAGCTATCTTGCAAATGATTGATAGGTAGCTCATGAAGGTTGGAATCACCCTTGGGGGTTAGTATCTAAATTTGTCCCTCTCATTCTTCTTATTAAGTTTGTTCTGATGTGTATCTCTTGTGAAAAATAAATCTTCATGCAAACATCTTCTAGGCTACCGAGGCTTCCGAAGCCCCTCAATACTAAGGGAGAAAATAGATGGTCAACATGCATCTATCGACCCAACAAACCGACACTACTGCTCGAAACCAGAAAAGAGATGAGCCATCGCTTGAAACGTGTGAGGAGGCCTGTGCTATCACCAATAGTCGGGACTAAATGGTTATATCCAAGGTGTGGCTCAACAAATGCCTAATTGCTACAACTCCACCATCTTTGCCTTCCCCATCGAGTTAACATTGTGGGTGAGCTGAGATCCCCTTGTCCTTCCAAGTGGTTGAGAGCTCTTGCTTGGAGTCAAGATATACAACATCATCCAACTGCAACATCAAGTGATCAACAACTCTCACCCATTAGGTTCCCACCCATTTCTCGTGGTCGAGCATGTTAAGCCTGATCAATATGTTCAACTTGTGTCCCATTGAATCATTATCTAATATGTGGCAACCAGGTTAGCATAAAAGAGATAAAACCTATCCATTTAGTATTAGTTACATGAACATATTATGGGTTGTCTCTCTTCATTACCTACGTGGACCTAAGTCTAAAAGAGTGGTTATAAGCTATCTATTCAAAGAATATTTTATAAAAATATTTCTTTCTTTTTACTTAGATAAATAGTTATTTTTTGGCATAATAATTGAAGTTAGATATTTTTTATTATTTTTTATCTATTATCTTGGGATTAACTTGGGCATGGAGAGTTGAGTCAAGAAATCTATATTTGACCTCAATATTTGTATAACAAGACATACAAACATATCTACTTTAGACTGAGAAAGTTTCAAATACTTGTCAGTAGCATCTTTTCTTTACTATACATGTCATCAAAAATTTGAAAATACTTAAAATATTTAAATATTAACTAAACCTTATTTTTGATGGTTTGTTTCCTTTACCTCATAAAAAAAAAATCATTTTTGTATTAAAATTTATTGGTTTGTAACGACATTAGCATTGAATATCCAAAAAAAAAAAAAATCTCATTTCTACTTATGAGTATTGTCATCTTTTTTTATGTCTTCCGGTAAAGATAATACTTTCGGAAATCTTTGCCTATTAGAATATCTTGTGCTCTAATGATATTTGTGATTTACATTGTTAAAATTAATATAAACTATATCATTTACATATGATCAGACTTTATCACTTATCGCACACGTATTAAAGACATTATTTTCATGAATTAACAATTAAAAGTTAAGATTCAAAGCCGTGTGGCGTTTGAGCACTAAAAGAAACCTTCCTCTTTATTAGCTGTGCGACGCCGAGACGCGTTATGCCCATTTTAAACACCGACCACCTCGTGCCCTCCACCGACGCTATTACGTTCATATTTGTTATGGACCGTATAACTAACTCAAAATAGAAATTAACAACTCCCTCCACAACAATCTCTCCTTCACATTAATAATATCTTACTTGAGACCAAGTCCACGTTATTAATTAGTTTCTACAACCGCATCTCATAAACTTCGATGCGAGTAATCTCATCCGTTCAATCCACCTTCCGCTCCAAAATTATTTTCTTGATAAACCGCGGCTTCCTCGATCTCGTACCTGCCTTGCGTGCGCGGGCCCCGCCGGTTCTTTGTCCGCAATCATAGGAAGCGGTGGGCCACATCTGACGGTGGGAATCGGACGGCCGGGACCGCACCGCCGCGGATTGCCAACCGTCGATCTTCTATCGCCTTCGGCGGGAGCGACGCGGTGTCACGAGCCCACCGGGACCCGCCTTCGCTCCGCTGGACGACGTGCGTCGTGCTCGTACGCAACGGAGCCCATGGGCCCGTAAATTTACGAAAATACTTTTATACCTGTACACTCGATACGCGCTCTTTTACCTTTCTGGTGATTGGACAGAGTACGTACGATTGTCTCCGACCACGCGGGCAGGTCGAAGATGTGGGTTACACCTAAGGCAACGGTTCCCCTTTTATTATAATTGCGTTTCTCGTCTCAAGATCTTGACCGTTGACATTCCTTTCTTGCAGTAAGAAACAAAAAGGGGGAGCGCGGCTGTGGTGGTCGTGGTTTGGCATATCTGATCCATCATGTCACACACAACGTTACTTTTGATTAAAGCGGATGTGATTCTGAAATGATATTAAATTATAAAAATAAATGTTAAAAAAGGGAGAAAAATCAAGTCTATGCCTGTCACGTACATACGCTATGCCTGTCTTTAGCAATCCGTAAGCCCTTCTTAAACTATGAAAAGGATGAAATTACGAGAATGCCACCCAACAGAATCTCGATTGGGGTCCGGTTGGCAGGTAAGTTGGTTTCCTGATCTCACGTCCGTTCCGTCATACATCAGACGGATTAAAACAATTTATCGATTTACCATTCGGATTGATGTAGAATTCATTTTGCATGATTTACACCCGTAAATAATGCTTTGAAAGTGCCAAAAATAATAATATTCGTTTTTTTATTTGAGACATTCTGGGTTAGATGTATTGGTATTGTCAATTACATCGACTAATTTTGACAGATTGGGTTATCGAATTCGAATCATATTATTTATTATATTACGTACAAAATTGACACCCGTAAGTTATGCTTTTAATGAGTGATTTGATTGGAGGGTGGAAAGGCACTCATCTAAATGGCAGTAGGTCAATGACTTCCTCCTCGGGCTACCTTCTTCAATATTAATACGATATGGACATTTGAAGACAGCTAGCTACATGTTAATGAATACGATGGGAAGTGATTGGTTTCTCTTGGCAACCATGAAACCAGATACAGAGTGATGTTAATGAATACGAGTAGTAATTTGAGGAGTCAAAACAGGTTTCTATAGTCAATTTGTAGGAGTCTTATCTGACATCACTATCACTATCACCATGTAGGAGTCTTTTATATATATATATATATATAATTTGACTCAATCTTTAATTTTAAGATCCCTTAATCTTTAATTTGACTCAAGAAACTATTAAATAGGAGGAAAGGTACTGTAATAAATATTAATTAAATACCAAGTAAAATATAGAAACATATATATAATTTGCTATAAAGATTTTGATTGGATGATCATTATTTTTTTTTTAAATGTTTTAAATACAGACTGAATTCGAACCTCCCTCATTCTTTATCAAGTGCAAATGTGGTCCGATTTCATCCAAAATTAAATATATATTAAATATTTATATATATTAAATGAAATAAAAAAATAAATATAATATTGGAATCCAGAATTCGATTTCATCCAAAATTCGATGATATCTTTATATGCATCATGATCTTATCCTAGAAGATTTCTCTGTTAATCTCAAACAACTTATTGACAGAGCTACATTCACATCCTCTTGGGTCTAATATACTGAATAATAATCAAAATAAAAATATGTTATACATCATTATAAATATAATTCGAGTATATATTATAAATAAATTGAAGAGAACATTTTATTCATAATATTGACACGATATACATAATTTTATTTCGGTGGAATGCAATTATTTTCTTCCTTAATTATAATAAAAATAAATGAAAGCGAAAAAGGAAATTGAACTTTTCCTGATAGCCGATAGGGGACAGGAATCATTGGGGCTAATCCTGATATTAAAATGCTATTTATGGACAATTCCGAAACACATTTATTGAAGCACAACTTTGATCCTAATTACGTAAATACCGGTCACGTCTGCCTTCATGTCAATGAAGAGAGAAGAAACTCGATAGGAGAGAGAGAGAGAGAGAGAGAGACAGAGGAGGGGGAACAGAAGTCGGCGGAGCGCACAGCGGCGGCGGCGAGACAAGGGCGTCCTGAGGACGAGAGAAAAGTTCTCTCCACCACCTCCTTCTTCCGGCCGTCGCCTCCGTGGGAGCGCTTTCGAAGCTTTAAAGAAGAGGAACGGGCATTTGGTCGTCCGAGCCGATCTCGGCGTTGGCGAGGAGCTAGACGAGGGCCTGATTGTAAAGAAAGATTGATTCTTTGGGCACGAAGTGGATACTGGCTCCGGCGGCAAGCTTGGATTTTTGATTAGGGCCCGGGAGGACTTCGAGAAGCTTTTCGAGGTTCTGACATCGTCGGGATCTGAAGATGGTATTGGATCGGTTATCTTATGATCGTTTTGTTTTCTTGTTTGCTTTCCCCTTCTTCGATCCTTTTCGAAAGAAAAATAATCTAGTGAGTTCAAAGCCTTTAAAGGCACTCTTTATTCTCCCATTGCTTTGTCTGTGTTCTCTGGGATCCAAGGCGCCACCAATTCCACGAGAAATTTATTCAAGTTGCTTATGTTTTTAGGCATTGCATTCCGGGCTTTTGCACTCAGCTTAATGACCAATTTTGATGAATGGATGATAAAATTAAGCGTTCTGGATTGGATTGTGGCCATTCTATGGCATGCATTGCTTTGATTCGATGCTTGAATGTCCAACAATTCCCGATTCTTGATTCATGTTGTTTTAATCACATACGTTGAAACAACTGACATATATACTTCTCACACTGTAATGCATTTCTCTTGACAGGCAACCCAGCCCAATATTGCCGTGGGATCTGAGGTCTGGGTCGAAGATCCTGATGTGGCTTGGATAGATGGGGAAGTTTTGGATGTCAAAAGGGACGAAATCACCATTAGCTGTAGTTCTGGAAAGACGGTGGGTACTTTAATTAATCGTATCTGCATATAACCTGTCCTCCTAGAAATCAAGAGAGGATTATATGCTGTTAGTTTGGTACATATACATATCTTTTGAAGATGGTCCGAAGCTGTTTTTGTTCTTTTGATATTTTAGTATGACTATGTGGAACTAATATACCTAATATTTAGAATTAGGAAATTTAAAACCTATTTCCCTGTAGAAAACAATATATAAATGTATGTTCAAGCATTAACATCGATATCATATTTGCACTGCAGGTGACTGCCAAAACTTTGAAGGTTCATCCTAAGGATCCTGAGGCCGCACCTGGTGGGGTGGATGACATGACAAAGCTTGCTTATTTGCATGAACCTGGAGTTTTACAGAACTTAAGATCTAGATATGACATGAATGAAATCTATGTAAGTTCTCTGGAACAAACTAAGCTGATCATGGTCTCTTTCATCCTCTCCGTGATTAACTTGTTGTACATTAAGATGAAATTACTTGTAATATTTGATTTATGCATTGATTTCTGAATTTCTTGTTTATTCTAGAATCTAGATAGTCCTTCCCCCATTCATTTATTGCATTGTTGAGCAGCTAACCAATAAAGTTGTATGACCAGACCTATACTGGAAACATATTGATCGCTGTCAATCCTTTCCGAAGGCTGCCTCATCTCTATGATAGCCACATGATGGAACAATACAAAGGGGCAGTTTTTGGTGAGCTAAGTCCTCATCCATTTGCTGTTGCAGATGCTGCATACCGGTACTATTTTACTCCATGAACTTCAGAAGATTCCCAATGATATCTTTTTCTCTGATTACACAATTGTCATAATGAATCAGGCAGATGATAAATGAGGGAGTAAGCCAATCAATTTTGGTAAGTGGAGAAAGTGGAGCAGGTAAAACAGAAAGCACCAAAATGCTTATGCGGTATCTTGCATACATGGGAGGTAGAGTTGCATCTGAAGGCCGAACTGTCGAGCAACAAGTGTTGCAGGTGAAATACCTTCCTGTGACTGGTTATAATGTCAGTCTTGAATGTGCAATCCTTTGTTTAAAATTTATTTTTAAATTTTGTTGTTCTTTCTTCTGCTTCTTTCATATAACCTTCTCTGTGGTATATTGTTTTTTCTTATACAGTCGAATCCTGTTCTTGAAGCATTTGGGAATGCAAAGACAGTTAGAAACAACAATTCAAGGTCTGAAAATTCTGTTATGATATTCCTCTGAATTTCATAAGATCCACATTTATGCATATTATGGTTACTAAATACTGTTCCTTCTTTTGATATTCCACTTGTAGTCGTTTTGGCAAGTTTGTTGAGATTCAGTTTGATCAGAGTGGAAGGATCTCCGGAGCTGCCATTCGAACTTACCTTCTTGAGAGATCTCGGGTCTGCCAAGTATCTGATCCTGAGAGAAATTATCATTGTTTTTACATGCTTTGTGCAGCTCCACCAGAGGTAATGAGCCTCTTGATGATTAGCTTTTTTTTGTTTGTTTTGAGTTGTCCTAAGCCTGTGTGTAGTGATACTGTATGTTTCCGTGAACTGTATATAGATTGTCTGACAACTGTTGCAGTCTGTATAACAAAACCTTAAAACTATATATTCACAATATCATGTATGGGGCATTTGGTTTCCTGTAACTGGAAATGTCTGCAAGTAGCAGTCGTAGGAAAAAAAATTAAATTCTGCATACAGAAATTTTAGGTCTGTTTGGATGCTTGCATATATAGTTGGCTTTAAGAGGAAGGAGCAGCGGTTATGTAGATTAAGGTAGAGGAGGGGAGATAGGGGGATTGGTAACACGTTAGGAGGCAACCCGTATGAGGATGGAGAAGGTATCCAACCCACTTATGACAAGATATGGGTTCTTGCAAGTGCAACATGCAGCACTTCAATTTGCAAGTCCACTTGCAACATATAGGGGTCTAGTTGCATGTACTCATGCTGCAAGTGGTTTACTTGTAGGCAACCAAACACCTGCAAGTGATAGTCACTGCAGGTGACGAAATGTGACCTCAGTAAGTTTACAACTGGATAAATGCCGAACATTAAGATTGTTTTCCTTAGTGCAATTGATGTCCTTCAGAAGTTCATGCTCTAATTGGAATTCTCATATTGGTTATCATATTGACTGGCTGTAGTTATCAAAAGTTTGCATTTCTGATACTTAACTGAATATTTAAAATGTTATTTATCAGGATATAGGAAGATTTAAACTGGGAAGTCCTAGAACATTTCACTATCTTAACCAGTCTAAGTGCTATGAGCTTGATGGAGTAGATGATGCAAAAGAGTACCTGGAAACTAAAAACGCTATGGATATTATTGGAATAACTGCTGATGAACAGGTATTCTAATTTTTTTGTCTTATATAAGAGAGGAAACTAATATCCTAATACCCTTTTATTCTAGTTTTTTTCCATACCTAATGTATTTTTTTCTTCATTCAGGATGCCATTTTCCGGGTTGTGGCTGCTATTCTTCATTTAGGGAATGTTGAGTTTGCAGATGGAAAGGAAATAGACTCATCACAGCCAAAAGATGAAAAATCTTGGTTTCATTTGAGAACTGCTGCTGAACTTTTAATGTAAGAGTGACATGTTTGTTGAATTTTAAAGTGTACATAATCATGTGGGATGCAATTGTGGTAGTTGACAGCTTACGGATTTCCCCAGGTGTGATGTAAATGCACTCGAGGATTCTTTGTGTACGCGTGTTATTGTAACCCGTGATGAGAACATAGTAAAAACCTTGGATTTGGCAGCTGCTGTGCTTAGTAGGGATGCCCTTGCAAAAATCATATATTCACGACTTTTTGATTGGTAATTATTGAAGCAATATGCTATACTCTTTGTTTAGCCTTCTAAGTTCACTTTCTATCTTCCCTGTAATATTATCCTATTTAAGCGCATACTTCCTTCAATACATTCACCAGGTACTGATCACATTTTCTTTTCTCTTACACTCAGGCTTGTAAACAAAATCAACAATTCGATTGGTCAAGATCCTGATTCAAAGAACTTAATTGGAGTTCTGGACATATATGGCTTTGAAAGTTTCAAGACAAACAGGTGCTTAAGTGGTATGCTTTTGTGTTTGTGTAAAGTATGCCAACATCTTGTTGTGAACTATCTGGGTTGGAGCCCCTGTGCTCTATTTGCTAGTGATAATTTCCTTCCTCTAGATGCCACTTTTAGTTGAGTGATTTGATTTTTCTGTGCTATGTTTAGTAACTTTAGTTCGTAGATCAGTACATAAGTTAAAATTTGTCTTTGCTTTTTATAATATTTGAGTTAAGATTTAGAACATATTGAATTACTTGTTCTTGCTTCTTGTTGTCGTATTCTTTTCAGAAGGGACTCAAGGAGATTACGGTAGCTCTTGCTAGATCATATGCATCCCTTCCTGGTTAAGAATCTCTGGCAACATACATTAAAAGGACTATCTGACAATACACTTTAAGCAAACTGTTTCAGTGCCTCAGAAAAAAATTGAGCAAACTCAGTTGCTGGAAATTTAGTTTCATATATGCCTTGGATGCAGGCACACTTGCCTTTTTTCAGTTTTCACTGGATGTGTTCTCTTTTAGATATGACCATGTTTTCTACATCTATTGAAATCTAAAAGTAAAACTATATTCTTTTGCTACATTTACTGAAAGCTAAGCGTGCAACTTAAATCTGTTAGGCTTGAAACTCTATATGATTCCTTTTTTCAAAAGAGTGAGCTGGATTCATATCATGACATTGTGGCCTTTTACATAGGATATCTGTAAAACTTTGATTCGTTGAAATTTAAAATTCTGGTTCATTTTTTTTCTTCTTTGGCTTGTAAAATTTGATTCTTATATAGTGTCCTCCTCTTACCACTATTATGCACTTCTGATGAAGAATGATCTGTAAAGTTTATCAGTTTGTAGCAAGTGGATTGAGTTCTAATACATTCACATTTTGCAGCTTTGAGCAGTTCTGCATCAATCTGACAAATGAAAAATTGCAGCAACATTTTAACCAGGTTTGAATAAATGGATGACATGCTATACAAGGGCAAGCAACAGCAGTACTTGATAACAGGTTTTTCTAACTCAGTTCCTTTTTTTCCATTGCAGCATGTTTTTAAAATGGAGCAAGAAGAATATACAAAAGAAGAAATCGATTGGAGTTACATTGAATTTGTTGATAATCAGGATATTCTTGATCTGATCGAAAAGGTTTGTTTGATTACATGTTCAGTAGCTGTTAGCTTCTAGTAGATATCATCATTTCAATCTCTCTCCCACCTTTGGTTTCAATTATTAATGGTCTTATTTTAATGTTTCTTCCCGATGAGATGCAAGTAACTTATGCATACAACAACTGGTAGAATTTCTTCTGCCTTTTTGCAACATATTGGGAATGTTCTCATGGTGCTATATATGCATATATAGAAATATTTTCTTCTATCATTATGGAACTTGTCTTTAATTCTGTTTTAGTGGATTAAAATTTCCTCACCCTTTTTTAGCAGCTTATATATTATAATACTAATGAATTTTGGTAACAATAAGCTACTTTTTGTTATCCTTCTGGAAAAGAACTTAGTTATTCATCCTTGACATTCTTAGTTTTCATTAGGAGATGTGTTATTGTCTTTTTAATAAAAAAAACCACACCTTTCTAATTAAAATATCCTGCAGCAATTCTTGGTATCATTGATTGGCGACAGAGGACCAAGTAGTCTCTGTTTAGGTAGCTGAATATTAAACTGTTGAGTGCAAACTTTTTGGGGAAGTTAAATGCACTCTTGAGGCTACAAGGTAGCATCATGGTGAGATTTCTGTAACATTGTCGACAAACGAAGAAAAGATTAACAATTAACATCCATGATTGATCTTATTACATGATTTACTGTTACTTATACAATGAAAATATCTAAAATAAATTTGACGAGTTCTAGGATCATAGATTACCCTAAGATGAAAATTCAGAGAGAATCTGGTACAGGATACTCCCTCTCTCCCTCATTTTCTACCCTTTGTTGGTGCTGGAAATGAAGATTTAAAGGCTGATTCCCAGAATTCATGATATGACGGTGTTGGGTGGTTGCTCTTTTCTCTTTGTTCTCAATCAATGTAGCCCCCATTAATGGACACCTAACTGTAGCTTTGGGACTTGAAGTAATTATTGGGAACTGGAGCTATTTCTAGAAAACAAAGGCATTGGATTGCAGTATATTATCAACCAGTTATTGAATGTGCCTCACAAAGTAGGTAGTATTAAATTGTTCAATTTTGGTTTACATTCTTCTCCCATTCTCTCTCAAAATGGCCAAGTAAGTTTTATTATGATTTATGAGAGCATCTAGTTGCCATGGGACAAATGTTTGTCTGATTTCTGTTATATGTCTATAGAAGGAGAAGAAGAGAGAAGAATTGGACACAGCTAAGGATTAGGAGGGAAGTTGTGCTATTATCATTAAGATAAAAAAATATATACTTGGCTCATCAGAAAGACGCTGTTGACGTATTGATTGACCTTAAAATTTAGTTGGTTGTTGATTGGCTCCATAGTTTAAATTTGGGAATTAAATTGTCAAGATTCAATTTATTTGGGAATTAATTTTTTATATTTCTCTGATGATATTTTGATGTTGTAACGAAGCTTTGATCCTATCTCTTCATTTATTAAAATTGGCACGTGATATTTGTTTGGTCGATAGGTCCCTGTTTGTAATATTCATTTATTTCTGCAGCTTCTTGTTTCTGTTTCAATGTTTTCAGAGGAGACATGGAAGTGTGACATGAATATTAAAATTTTTTCGTAAACATTTTAGCACTTTCACAGGTTTAATCACTGACATCCCTTAGAAAGGTTGACCTGAAAATTTGAACATAAATATGCCATATGATTCTCATTATATACATGCATTCCTCATGTATTATTGGTTTCACCAGGTTTATCTAATCATGATATTTGACTATTGACTTTCAGAAACCTGGTGGAATAATTGCTCTTCTTGATGAAGCTTGGTATGTATGGGCATGTCAGCTGAACTTGGTCTTTGTTCTGTTTGGCTACTAGTGCATTTGCATTAATAAAAATTATTCTCTGTTTGACTGATATCAACATTTTCTTGATTCTGTTATGCAGCATGTTACCCAGATCAACGCATGAAACATTTGCTCAGAAGTTGTACCAGTCCTTCAAAAACAATAAGCGGTTCAGCAAGCCAAAATTATCACGCTCTGATTTTATAATTTCCCACTATGCTGGTGATGTGAGTACTTTAATTAATGTTATCCTTTTTATTCACTATGATTGTCAAACAAGAATGCTTGCAAATAATAAAAGTTTGAAATTACTTTTCCTCATCCAGGTCACCTACCAGACAGAATTTTTCTTGGACAAGAACAAAGATTATGTTGTTGCTGAGCACCAGGCACTCTTGACGGCCTCTAAATGTTCTTTTGTTTCAAGCCTATTTCCTCCTCTCTCTGAGGATGCATCAAAATCCTCAAAATTTTCATCAATTGGCGCTAGATTTAAGGTACAACAGTATTTTTTCTCAATTTAGGTAGTGCATCTATCTTTCAAATTACTTATTCATGATTTCTGGCAACTATGCAGCAACAATTACAGGCTCTGCTAGAAACTCTAAGTGCCACTGAGCCACACTATATTCGTTGTGTGAAACCAAATAATCTTCTGAAGCCAGCAATTTATGAGAATCATAATGTTCTCCAGCAGCTACGTTGTGGGGTAGGATTTTATATTAAGTTTGCATCTTGCTTTGCTGATTTTCACATAGTAAGCATCCAATATCTATCATTTTTTTCTCCTTGATTTAGGGGGTGATGGAGGCAATTAGGATAAGTTGTGCTGGATATCCAACTAGACGAACATTTGATGAATTCATAGACCGTTTTGGCATCCTTGCACCTGAAGTTTTCGATGGAAGGTAAAGTACAATTAACCCAATATTGTCTGGATGATGAGATTTGCTTAGTCCGATATTATTTTTCTCATGGCAGTTGTGATGAGGTAGCTGTCTCAAAGAAGTTGTTAGGAAAAGTGAATCTCAAAGGCTATCAGGTACAATTAAAAAATAGAAAGCAACTTGCAACTTATTTGTTTTCTATTATTTTTCTTTCATAAAAACTGAGTCATTGTTTCAATGGAAAGATATAACAAACAAATTTTCTTGAGCCTGCTACCCCCAGTGTGCTGCCATAAATTTTCCAGTTCACATTATTACTGGCTTTAGAAAACTTTGCCGACCTAAAGACTACTGAGCATAATTAGCTCAATTAATAAAAGGTTCCATGATACATAGTCCATTGGCTGATGTCCTCTCAGGTTAAACAAAGGTAACAATTACACATCCTCTGGAAAAACTAGGCTTGTCAAAAATTTTAAACTAAATTGGTAAACTAACTTCAAATAATGGAATTATTTCACTTGCTATGCAGCTTCTGCAGTTAATGTTGGTAAATTTGTATTTAGTAGTCAGTCAGATAATATTATAATAATTCTGTGCAAAAATATAACTTGTTTAGATACTAATTGAAGCTTGGAACATCAAAATAACATGAGACAACATTGAGTCAAGGAATTAATTGTCTCACCATGCCTTTGTTCCTTGATGTACTGGGGACATTAAATGGGAGAAAAATAAGGACATAGAGAACAGATAAAAGTCTTGTTCCAAATTGCCAATTTTTATGACTTATTGACCTTTATAAATCTACATCCCCTTGAAAGCACACCATTAACTTAATTTTATGCCTAGCCACACATACTAGCCCAGTACAAATATTCACTGCCGAATATATGTCAGCATGATATTTACCAGCACATGGGAGGCACCAGCTGTCATGGCAATCCATGCATGGAGGCATAAGCTTTTATATTTACTGGTTTGATCAAATAGGTTCATACATAAGTTTTTGTACTTTAAAAAGTTATTTTTGTTTTTTATGACTAATATGTGATAATCCTGGTATTAATTGAAATGAGGGCTTGATGATTGTGCCATACTGTTCAATAGTTTGAAAATGATGCGTCACTAGTGTTTTCGACATATGTTTATAATATGTGGATGTTATCCATTAAATAAGCTTTAAATACTAGTATCTGAGTAATTTATCTAGTCTCTGAAGCTAATGTTATCATAATAGTTCTGACAAGGGGATTTTTTATATTTTTTTAGTTGATAGTTATTTATTTGGAGTGTACCTTTATTAATATTAACAATGATCATGGGCAAGGATTGAAATATTGTACCGTACCAGAGTTTCGACATTCGCTCGGTATGGTATGGTACGGTACTGTATACCGAGCGGTATACCGTTCAGTATATATATATATATATATATATATATATATATATATATACTGTCCGGTATCCTATCTGCTGATGGACCGGTACGTACCACCCGTACCGAACGGTATTATTTGAAATTGAAGACCTTGATCATGGGAATATTCATTGTAATAAGGTTATCAACTTTCCTGCTTATAGTAGCTTGATCAAGGTGCTTGCTTACCTTATCTGTTAACAGTGGAACAATTTAATCATTGTGTTAATTTAATGAAATAATTTTACAGCTGTATCAAACAGTCAATAAGAATGCCCACAATCTGATACCGGGCTCAGGGACAATATTTTTAAGAAACCAATACTCTCTGATGTAGGATTATGGATTATAATGTCAACAGATTCCATGGGGGTTCATAGATCTTATCTCATGATAGTGTCACATTTCAACATATTTTAGTCCCATCATCATTAAGGATCATGTCTTATGAGTCCTCTAAGTCTTATCTCTTATCTCATGGAGTACTTCTCTAAGTCTTTTAATTTTAGGAAGTTATACACAGTTGAATGCTGTTAAGTGGAGCTTCTCCACTTCTGACAATGCCACCTGGAATTTGAAGGTCTAATTTGTGGCATCAGTCGCAAGTGGAACTCTCCCACTTGAGTTATACCCCTGTCAGAAGTTGACAAGGCACAAGCTAGTTCCAAAGTCAAATAATTCTGCAGCAAACTTAAGGTCTAATTTCTTAGACCCCTTAGATATTGGATCCTCCCAACAATTGGATGTGCCTTCTAATGGTTCCTTGACAACTAGAACTAACATGTCACATAGTTATCACCAACTGTTGGCAAGAGCATGAAAGATGATCAGCTAGTTCATAATTGGATGTTTAATCAGGTTTACTTTTTCTGTTAGAGCAGTGATTTAAATCTTATCTGTTCCACTAAATTTCTCTCTCTCTCTCTCTCTCTCTCTCTCTCTCTCTCTCTCTGTGTATATATTTATTCATATTTATGGGCAATATCAGATTTGTGGTATGTGTGATTATGAATTCTTGTAACCCCATCTCTACTCTTCCCATGTTAGTCCTCCATTTTCTAAATATGGTATGTAGATTATTGACATTGGTCTTACATGTACAATTTATGTCCTCTGATATATCTAAGATGATTATGCAAGTATTTAAATTATCCAACTGATATAAGAAGAGTTATAACTCTTGATAAGTACAATTAAAGTATATTCTAATTTCACTTTTGGCTTGTGGACAAACATTATTGAAGACTGTTGTTATTCAGTTGGCATAGTACCTTTGTCTGTAGTAAATGAAAATATGCTTTTCCAATATTGTAAGTTCTTGTAAATATGGTTACATAAATAGGACCCTTAAATTATGAGTGTCATTAAATTTTCTATGCTAAATGGTACTACTAAGTATTAATTAGATTATTCAGTGACAGATTGTCCTAATATTTTCACCATTCAGATAGGAAAGACGAAGGTGTTTCTTCGAGCTGGACAGATGGCTGAACTTGATGCCCTTAGAAATGAAGTCTTAGGGAGATCTGCTAACTTAATTCAAAGAAAAGTTCGATCATACTTGTCCCGTAGAAGTTTCATTTTGCTGAAAAAGTCTGCCATAATGATTCAAACAATATGCAGAGGTACTCATTCTGTAATATGCTTGTACCAGTTATGACTAATGGTATTAATAATTTTGTTGTTTTCATTTCTCTAACATATATACAGGTTTTTGTCTCAAGCTGATGTAAGGTAATGTATTCTCTTTTTTACTTTGAAGGACAACATGCAAGGCAAATTTATGAGATCAAGCGGAAAGAAGCTGCTGCACTTAGGATTCAGACATATTTTCGTGTGCATTTTGCAAGAAAAACTTACAAGGAGTTGTTATATTCATCTATCACAATTCAAGCTGGTTTACGTGGGATGACTGCTCGTAAGGAGCTTCGTTTCAGGCAACAGACAAAAGCTGCAACCATTATTCAGGTAAAATACTGAAGAAATGAATGGATTGCTTTGCACCAGTTATGGAAAACTGGAATTCTTCTGACACTACATGCATACTTTCATATAATCACATGCGCATAATGATTAAATTACCATCATGATATGTATGGCTTCATTCTGAGTAATCTTCGTTGTTCTGATGAACTGCAGCTGACTAATAATGGATAATGTCTTAATGGTCTATGCAATCTTGATACAGGATTACATAGACCAATTTCTCTTCATTTTTCTATTTGTTCATTGTCTCTTTTGTTTGTTTATTGTACTTGTTCAAAATGCTAAACCTTTCTTCCTATTCTTTATCATGTTTCTTTTTCTAGAGTCGATGCCGCCAATACTTGGCATGTTTGCATTATTCAAGAATGAAGAAAGCAGCAATCACTACTCAATGTTCATGGAGAGGAAGAGTTGCGAGAAGTGAACTGCGGAAATTAAAAATGGTAAAACTTTTACTGAACATTTCATGTACTTTTGTTATCATTGACGTTTTGAATAGGAGGTTAATTTGCCTGATTAATATATGTTGCCTGAAGTTTCTTATTATTAAGCTCTAATTATAGTTGATACAGAAGAGCAAATTAATTGATTCTGATTGTTCCTAAGTCATCTTTGTTTGAGGGGGCTATTCTAGTCTAAGTGCTAGATATGTTCCCTAGAGTGGATTATGAAACTAGTGTTGTATGTTTCCTGGCCATATGGAAGCCTAGATCATAAGTCTTTTCCTTTTAGAGCTAGACATAGGTATAGTGAATTTCTCTTTTAAGAGATTTGTTGAACTTACCTTTGCTTCAGGAGAACATTAGAGGTATTTTATTTTTTTATTGATTACCATAACTTCTTGATGCAACTTTCCTATCTTCCTCTCCATATTTAATCTGACACTTTCCTGCCAAGTGTTCTATGAAACCAACTTCATGTCAATTTTAAATTGTCTAGAATTGAAATTCAGCACTAAATAATAAAAAATCTGCATAACAAGTAGATATATGTATGATTCCTAAAATTTGTTGGAAGGAGCAGAAGCTAGATATGAAGCATATTGTGTATGTATGATCCCTGAAATGTGTTGGAACGACCAGAGGTCAATATGAATCATACTGCCTGTACTACATTAACAAATTTATGAGTTCTGAGCTCCATGTCTGTTGTTACTTATGTGTGACAGCTTTAATATGAATTTGGTATCTTACGTAAATTTATGAGTTATGAGCTCCATTTACATCATGTTGTATATCTTACGTAAGAATTTGGTATTTGTGATTTTGAGTGGCAAATTCAATATGAAAATAATATTCTGCTTGCTGTATTGCGAAGTTAGTATGCATATCTAATCAAATAAGTTCAGATTGATGGAATGCAGCAGTGAGGAAAATGGTTTTATGACAAATTGGCAAGAATGAGACATCAAATGAGATGTTGCAGAAAATAGGTTGGCATATTTTAATACAACATAACAGCAAGAGTTAAACAATCAAAATGGAGAAAGGGAAGTGGGAAAAAAGAAGAGACACTGTTTCTAGGGTGATCAGGGATATGTAGATAGTTAGATGGTACCAGGGAATGTTGTTGGAGTTAGAAGTTGGAGATCAAGCATATTGTCTGTGTGATGCTGAGATGTGTTTGGGTCCTGAGCTCCATATTTGTTTTTGCTAACCTGTGACATCTTTACTACTTACGTATGTGAGAATTTGGGATTTGCAATCCTAAGAATGGGAAAATCAATGTGAAAATAAAATTCTGCTTGCTTTCTTGCAAAATAGCTTACAAATTTGATTCAAGAAGTTCAAGATGATGAAATGCAACAATGAGGGAAATGGCTGTGATAAATTCTTAAGAGTGAAGCATCAAATGAGTGATGTGTTGTGGATAATCAATTAGAATTATTTTAAAACAAAATAGCAGCAACAATGAAAGATCAAAAATGGAAAAGATGAAGAGAAGAACTGAGACTGAGAATGATATCTTGAATTTTTTTTATCACGGTACAGACAATTTTTGTCTTGTAGGATTAATCATGCACTTATTGTTGCTTACTTTTTCCTTTTTTTTTTGGTAGGCTGCAAGAGAAACCGGTGCCCTTCAAGCTGCTAAAAATAAGTTAGAAAAGCAAGTTGAGGAACTTACATGGCGTCTACAGCTGGAGAAACGCATACGGGTAAATATAGAAATCATGGTGGCCTTTCCTGTGAATTTTATATCTTGACTGTCTATAGATCCAAAATCACGTTAGCTGTACCGGTATTTTTTTGTGTCATGCTTTTGTGTTTCTTGGTAATATTCTAATTAAAATTGTTAAAATGTGTTTGTGATGTTTAATGTTAAATACTATCTACGGGAGCCAAGTGACTATTTATAAATTTATCAGATCAGTGTCTTGTAAAAGTCATTATGCTTCATCTAGTGATATCCTGAAATCAGAAAGTATTGAACTTACAGGAAATGGATGTCATAAATAAGTCAATTTTATTTGTTCCTTAATCTATAAATTTCCTATAATATTCTTCTAAATTCTAAGTTTAGTAAGTCTAATTTTTTTGAAACTTGAAACTTGAATCCTCATTATAGTGTTAGAAATGGAAAGAAAAAGTCTCTAAGTTTTAGTTTTCTGCTGTCTAAAATGCTGATTGAGATCACATAGAAAGTTCAGTGAACTAACTTCTAGAACAGAAAGAAAATCAACATGAAAAATTTAATTGGGAAGGACAACTAGTTTCACTAGAAATCTGTTGATTGATAGGTAGTAGTTTCTTATAACAAAGGAACTAGGTACACTGTGGTATTCTGAGGTGTATTGACTACCATTCCAGTCTAGCTGCGTAATATCATGTTGCTGTATCATGGTACCACCCCTGTACCAAGATTATACAATGTTAATATTTTTCAAATAGGTGTTAACTGCTAAGCATACGTACTGGTCTGACTGGGTTCTGGTACTAATATGACTTTTCAAACCATTCTTACAACCATGTAAGTTAATTAATAATAATAAATTCATCAGCTGTGACCTTTCATATTTCCTGCAAGCACTTTGGTTGAACTTTAGTGATACAGAGATCTAGGTTTTGTTCTACTTAACCTATAATCTTAAAGGTAGTATATTCACATAATATATGCATATATACACTGTTATTGAAGTCTTGAGGTGCAATGTAGTTAAAATTTTGAGCATTGCCACAAATGAGTACTATAATGTTAGTCTATGATTATCACACAAGATGATATCTATGAGACGCGAGAGATCATGTTTATTTTATTTGTGAAGGTATATATCATCAGTTCTTTGAGAAGAGAAGAGGTTAAACAATTGGGTATATTGGTTCATTGTTCTCTATTTATTCTCTGTTCTTTACTTTTATTTTTCTTTTTTACTTAGTGTTTTTCGGACTTTGCTACTTTCCTCTTCTTTTTTACCACTTATGTTATCAAATTTCACTATTGACTAAGTCAATAACACTTTAATTACTGAGCTAAAAGGATATTGGTGAATGATAATTACATCTAAATTCTGTTTGTGTAGATGATTTATAATTTATTTATTTGGAGTAACATTGCTTCAATTAGGCATGCACCTTGTGCCAAGGCTCCTAGAGACCTTAGCATATGAACATCTATGTCTGTATATATGATACACATGCACCTCGCATCTAGGCTTCTGGAGATCATAATTAAATACATTTGTGCATGCATTCATATTTACATGTATTTACTCACAGGGACATGTCTGTGGCAATTTGACTTTAAAGAAATTTTCTCTCTCTTTCTTGTAGGCGGATATGGAAGAAGCTAAAACACAGGAGAATGCAAAACTGCAAGCTGCTTTGCAGGAGATGCAACAAAAATTTGATGAAACAAAAGCTTTGCTAGTAAAAGAACAGGAGGCTGCCAAGCAGGCTGCTGAACAAGTTCCTGTCGTTAAAGAAATCCCAGTTATTGATACAGTTCTTATGGATAAGCTTAGGGATGAGAATGAGAAGCTTAAGGTGAGATGATCCATGTAGTAGGGTTTGTATCTCTTCAGTTAATTTCTTCCTGCCAGAGCAAACTCTTTAGTTGGATTCAAATGCATTTGACATAGCTGCAATTGATTATGGAATCATTTTGCTATTCTTAAAGTTTTGTACTCAAAACACTATCTTTCTACTTCATAATATGTAGGCTTTAGTGAGTTCTCTTGAAATGAAGATTGATGAATCTGAGAAGAAGTATGAAGAAACAAGCAGAATTAGTGAGGAAAGGCTGAAGAAGGCAACGGAGGCAGAATCTAAGATCGTTAACCTCAACAGTGCAATTGAAAGGTCCTACTTTGTTGAAGTTTTTAGGGATATGAGTATATATCTCCTCTGATTTGATATCTTATAATGTTAAATCTACATATTATTAAATCTTATGTGGTTATCTTCCCTTAGTTTAGTGGATTAAATTAACAAAATTGTATAATCTTATTTGATCTGGGGACAGGCTTCAAGAGAAACTATCTAACCTGGAGTCAGAGGATCAGATTCTTCGGCAGCAGGCTATGTTGCATTCACCAATAAAACGCATGTCAGAACATTTATCAATTCCAGTCACTCCTACCAATCAGGTACTTATTTATTTTCCAACAAGGATCATTTGTTTGACTCTTTTAGTATGTATGATATAGCATCATTCCATTTGTCTTTTTGAAGCAGAATTTGGAAAATGGTCACCATGATTTCCAAGAGCCTAAGGTTTGTGCAATCAATAAGTTCAATATGTTAAGTTTGCTTCATATGCATACAAAACTTGTCCTGTATGATTTGTATCATAACAACATTAATCTGTTTAGGAAGTTCAGAGTGCACCTCCTGCTGTCAATGATTATGCAAATGGTGGTACCAAGTTAAATAGACCCTCCATCGAGAGGCAGCAGGTATATGTAAATAGAACACAAATCATCAATCTATTAGGTGCACTGCTTTTGTCTTAACAGGTAGATGTTTTTATTATGCAGGAAGATGTTGATGCCCTTATTAATTGTGTCTCTAAAAATATCGGATTTAGTGAAGGAAAGCCAGTATCTGCATTCACAATCTACAAATGTCTTATTCATTGGAAATCATTTGAAGCAGAAAAGACTAGTGTTTTTGATCATCTTATACAGATGATCGGTTCTGCAATTGAGGTAATTTGTGCAGGATCAGTCCACATGCTTTTTTTTCATTTTCTTTCCTGAATATAACAAGTGACATATAAAGTTTCTTCATTTTCTTTCCTCTCCGTTTGTGCAAACTACTTAAGGTGGAAAATTCATGGAATTGGTTCTCAGAAAACTACTTTTTCTGTTGCTTGGTTGGTTAAGAAACAAAAATATCTGGGAGTTCTTTTTCAGATTTCTAGGAAATTTATGGCTTTTTTTACAGATTTTTCTAGTTTGGAGAATGAAATCAAAATTTTTCCAAAATTTTCTTCGCATTATTTCTTTGTTCATCTTTCTAAAAGGAGACAAAGCTTTACTTTTTCTCTGCATTTGCAGCATCAATAAAAGAATAGACTAGCCTTTTCATCCTTTTTCTATGATCTCAACAATTCTATTTAGTTTTGATGGAAATATTTTTTGTGGAAAATTCATTTCCACTGATTATTTTGCAAGGAAACCGACTCTTATCATTACATAATGACATATTGTTATTGCCAATGTATTGACGGCTTACGTATTGTTTCTTTTTTTTATTTTGGAGTTGTATTTCATCATCCTGCCTGATGGAAAAATTGACACAGTAGCTTGATGAGCCTATAACCGCATCCCAAGTTAATACCAAAGTCCAATGTAGCCTTAAACAACAGAATGTTCCTCCCACTTTCAATATGGCACTATTAGAGATGTTACAATCTCCTCGTTCAAGTTTTAGTGTCTTTGTCAAGTCTCAAGGCTAATGCATACTTTGGAATCATGTCCTTTGTTGCTTCTAAGTGATGGTCATTGACAATAGCTTATACAATTGAACTTACAGTTCTTGCTTGTTTTGTTGCTAGCCATCCTACAATTTCTAGATTCTACATTGATTGTCATCTGATCGCAGACTTTCTCGATCTCTGTGCAGGATGAGCATGACAATGACCATCTTGCATACTGGCTATCAAATGGTTCTACTTTGTTATTCCTGCTGCAACGAAGTCTTAAAGTTGCTGGTGCAGTTGGGAGTACTGCACAACGAAAACCTCCTGCGCCAACATCATTTTTTGGGAGAATGACTCAAGTATGCAAAAACTGTTAATATCTCTTGCATTATGTTTGGTTATCTTGAGTTGTTACCCTGGGCCACTGCATCTGGCTTTCATCTGTGATACTTATGTTTAATACAAATCTTTTTTCTTTTTTACTGAATGCTAGAGTTTTCGCTCCTCATCTTCTGTAAGCCTTGCTGTGGATGGACTATCTGTTGTGCGCCAAGTTGAGGCAAAGTATCCTGCCTTGCTTTTCAAGCAGCAGCTAACAGCTTATGTGGAGAAGATATATGGAATTATCCGTGATAATGTGAAAAAGGATTTATCTTCCTTGCTATCGTTATGCATCCAGGTATAGAGTATTGCCACAAATACATGTCTGTTAGATAAAATGTATGTTTAATAACTAATGTTAGATGAAAAGTATGTTTAATAACTAATTGGAGTTAATGGTATGAACCTTGAGTTAATTTTCTTTTTTTAATTGTGTCATATTAATTAGTTTAAGATGGAACATTTTTAGCTTCTAATGTGCTGATACTAATAGTTTTTTGATATTTGGGATTTCGTTTACCAATTTGACTGTTTGTCCTCTAAATATTGCCAACAGTCAAAACCTGTTTTCGTCAATTTGGAGGACTTTTCACTGTCTTAAGTCTGTTTAATCAAATTTTAAATAAGTACATGTATGTTGTCAGATCATTTCTTAGTTATAATTCTACAACATACTCAACGTTTAGGTGGAACATTTCATGATGTTAAATTCTGATCCTTTACCGTAGAGTAGAAGTCATTACTTAATGTGTGAGCTATTCATGGAGTACCCAACACTTGAAACAAATTACTTGTTGTATACCTTGTTCTGTTCTCCTAAATTCTGCTCTGGAATGCTTCTCTGTCATCATATTTTCTATGGATGAATTATTATAATCTTTTGACAATATAAGCACATCTCAATTGCTATTTTATTGATCTTGATACTCAGGCCCCAAGAACAACAAGGGCAAGTATGCTGCGAGGTGTTGGGCGTTCACCTCGTCAGACACAAGGGAACCATTGGCAGAACATCATTGAGAGACTCGATAACCTCCTTAAAACAATGCAAGAAAATTATGTATGATGTCTTAATTAAAATGAAGTAAAACTGCACCTTTCGGGAGTCCATCAGAGAACTTTAAGTTAAATCTGTTGTTTTTCAGGTACCTCTTGTTCTAATTCAGAAGATGTACACACAAATTTTCTCATTCATCAACGTACAAGTTTTTAACAGGTTAGTGACTGTTTGATATTTTTTTTTGTGTAGTAGGTGATTAGAATATAATTCCTTTACTGCTTTGCAGTCTGCTTCTTCGTCGTGAGTGTTGCTCTTTTAGCAACGGAGAGTATGTGAAATCTGGTCTAGGTGAACTGGAACTATGGTGTACAAAAACAAAACCTCAGGTATAAATGTTCGTTGCGGTTGTTCAATGCAGTTGTTCAAAGGAATATTTAGTCCCTGTAGTATCTGATATTCATTCTCCTTTCAGTACACAGGTTTGTCTTGGGATGAACTTAAGCACATTAGACAAGCTGTTGGTTTCTTGGTAAGTAATTTCTATTTCTATCTGTAGCACAGGGCAATGATGCTCTCTCATTTAAGAAGCTAGCTTTATACTTGAATTATAAATATAACATCTTGACATAAGGCAGCCATGTTTTGTGCTGTGCAGTTGCAATGAATTCTATCTAGATCCATGTGAATGCTATATTAACAAATAAGATGCCTTCTAATCATGCAATATTGATTTCAAATTATGCAGCTAAGAAGTTAACTTTTAACTTGCATCCTGTTTACTGTTTACTGTTTTACTCTATTAGAAAATATAACCGAGCACAATAGTATCTTGCTTTGGAATCTTATCTATTGACCTCCCATGACCTTAACATGTACAACCAATCATGTCATGCTTGTTTGGATAAATAAAATACTACTTGTGCAGGCCAGTTTTTATAAAGGATCCAGCAACTGAACTGTGCAGGCCAGTTTTTAGTACTTAATACTTTGGGCTAGTTTAAATAATCATAGTGGCTTAACCAGAAGATGTGAGTTCTCTTTATAATCTTAAATCCTAGGAACATGTTTCCTATGATGTTCTTATAAAACCAGTTGTTTCCTGGCTGCTATTTTTGGCTTGTGTACATAATCAATTGAAAGGGTTGTTTGGTTGCTTACAACTAGACAGCTTGCAAAAGCATTTGCTGTAAGCAGTCCTGTTGCACATGTTTGGTTGCCTGCAAGTTTTCAGTTGCATTTTGGATTGTCATGCTGCAGCCAGTGACAATGGTCCCTCACCTGCTTCATCCTTTCTCTCCTTCCTCTTCACTTTTCCTTCTTACTCTCATCTTCACTTTGGCCACCACTTCAAAGCATTGCCAATGAGGTCATTTTCTCCTGCTCCTTCCTCCCGCATCCTGTTCTCTTATTTTCCACTTTGGTCTGCTGCTTCAGCTTCCAGCAACACAAGGGGTACCCCTTGCTTCTTCCTACCTCTCTTGCTTTCTACCTTCGATCAGTCCCACCATAGCTTCTGCAGACATATAGACCGCTCCCTTGATCCATCTCTCTCTCTCTCTCCATCCTCTGTGCCACCTCAACAAAATAACTGCTGATGCAGATAGTTATGGATGAACTTGATTTGCGTGAATATATTGTGATGAACAGGTTATATTGTTAGACCATTATCTCGTAGTTCAATCATTTAAACTTTTATTGCTACAGTCTCAGAAGCTTACTTGGTAGTTTAAACGTCTTTTTTACAATCTCTCTTGTTATATGCAGGTGATATTTCAGAAGTATAGGATTTCATATGATGAGATTGTGAACGATCTCTGCCCAGTAAGATCACATTGACTTGCACCCTCTTGTCTGTGTTTATTGCTGGAAGTGGTGTGTTTGTGGGTCTTAGTTTTAATTAATGCTCAGTAGGTTTGTTATTGGGAGGGGTAGCAGATTGGTCGTATTGTGCTCCTGGTGAGGGGTGGTTGATTGGATCTAACAGTCTCTTATGGTTCTTTCTTCCTGCAGGTTCTTAGTGTCCAGCAGCTCTATAGAATTTGCATTCAGTACTGGGATGACAAGTACAATACAAAAAGCGTCTCTGCAGATGTAAGTTCAAGGAATTAGTTTACCGTGATATATATATATATATATATATATATATATGTATATATAAATGTATGTATACATATATATATGTATGTATACATATATATATATATATGTATACATACATATATATAACCATTAGTACTTGTTCCTGTATACATTTAGTTCTTGGGTTTATGTATTATGCGGTGATTTACCTCAGGGCATGTCTAGACAACTGTGTTTGGATATGACTTCACATGAACAATAAAAGATGGGTGCCCAAATAGTTATTTAATGTGAACTTTTCATGCAGTTGCTTGTCTGTTGCATTACTGAATTGCATAGCCTTGAGTTCGATTCAGAATAACTAACTGTTGGTCTTTGTACCTTTATACAGGTCCTCTCCAATATGCGGGTATTAATGACACAGGATTCTAATGACGCAGAAAGCAGTGCCTTCCTGCTAGATGATAACTCGAGGTGAAAGGAAAAGCCATTTCAAATGTGTTTACACAATGTTTTGTTGTTTTTTTCATGATGAACTGGAATACTGACCGCATCCTGATCTTTTTCTCCTTGGTACAGCATTCCCTTCTCGGTAGATGACTTGTTAAGCTCTTTGCAAGAGAAGGAATTTATGCATGTCAGGTCAGCAGAGGAACTTATGGAAAACCCGGCCTTCCAATTTTTACAGGAATGATAGGCTCTGTCTAGACCCGAGGAATTCTCGCATTATAATCTTTAAGTGGTAGAAGTTCATTACCATACCATTTTTCAGCATTCATTTTTTCCCTTTCAGTGGGTGTGTATATTTGATGGTGGGAGTAAAATGTGTAAGATTTTGTTAGGGGCAATTTGTAGGGATGGGATGAGTGTCACCACCCTCCATTAAGAGTTCTTCACACAAGATGCAGAAGACGTTTTGTTCTACACACCGTTGCTTCTGTTCAATTATATTGTTTGTGGAAGGGAATGTTCTGAGAGTCCCCCTCCCCATTTTAACTTGTATAGTATATATAGGATTAGTACGAAATAATGATTATAAAGCAGAATACTCACAAGCAGATAAATTATTATTATTATTTTTTTTTCTGTTTTTATGCAGAATATTCTGAAATTTTTTTCATATATTTTCTTAACTGAGAACCTTCTGAATAAGTTTTCTGCAGTCATCATTGTTGTTGTTTTGCATTACACCACTTATTATGGTTTCCAGGTTCTCTCCGAGCCTCTTTACATACTTTAATGACTCCTATAGTTTTTATGTAATTCGTCAAGATATACCAATGAATGCATTTTTAAAGCTTACTCATTGGTAATCATTGTTGTGTAATGCCGCAGGGTGTGC